TTAGTGTTTATGTAAATTTACATATTTAATTGATGAAATTTATCATTAATATAAGTATTCTTTTTATATTTTGCTCATAATTTTTTTTTTTATTATCTTGATAAGCAATTTAATTTAATTTGTTTTGAAGCTTCAACTTAGCATCTCCCATGATTGTGCTATTGGTCATGTCAACGCCAAAAAATAGCTTGGCTTCACAAAATTGGTGCTCCAATGATGTGCATTGCTCTAGCCAAAACTAGCAAAGCCAAACCTTAAGCCAAATTTGGCTTAATGTTTGGCAAAGCCATCTTGCTGCCAAAGGTTGGATTTGATTAGATTAGGTTGAAATCATCTTAATTTCCATGACTTTAACACACAATAATTGAATTTGGCAAACGATCGTGTCAAAATGGCAAGTATCCATTGAAGTGGTACAGCCAAAAATTGCTTTTTGTGCACTGTAACAAGCCAAAAAATAATTTTGACAAAGCTATTTTAGATTTGACCATTAGAGATGCCTCTTAAATGGGTTATGTTAAGTGATTTTAAAAAGAGTTCACTTCTCACTTCTTTGTCCATGCTTGTGGGACCTATCAAATGTTTCGTTATAATAATCTACATCGTTCATTTTATAGAATCTTTTGTATATATTATCTACAAAAAGAAGGTTGATATAATAATTGTAATTAATTCAATTTATTGCGTTTGTCACCACAAAAATTGACAGTCTATTGTAACACAAATTGGTCTATTACATAATACATTTTTTTAGTACATATACAATCATGCAAAGTTTACAGTCTTTTTAAATTTCATAACACTTGTTCTAACATTGTACATTAACAAAATCTAACCTTTTTTTTCCCCTCCCAAGATAACTGTTCGATTAAGAGCATATCTAATGCTATTAGGCGTTTTACACATATAAAAATGGGGTATTTACATACAAATTCCAATTTATTAACTTATACTCCATTAAGTCCTATAACTAAGATTTTTTAGACTTTCAAGTCTCATTAAATTTTTAATAATCAGAATTGCTTTTCAAATGATGATTGTTCATCATTTATGATTATCTATAAAGGAATATGATGATTTGACATTTATTTTGATTTTCAAAAATTTCAAATTGAAAAAAAAAACTATAAAAAAAATTATGTGAAAAAAAAAAAAAAAAAAAACTGAACATTTTTTTTGAAAAAATTGAATTGTTTTTTTGTGTGCAAAATTGAAAATTTTGTATTTATAAAGGAGCATGATGGAATATTGATATGCAAAATTAAAAAAAAAAATTAAAAATGAAAAAATCGGTAATGTTTTCAGTTTTAAAACTGGAAAAAATTGATAATATTCTCACTTTTATTAGATAGTTGAAGCAAATCAATAAGTAAAAGAGCAAAAACGTTTAATATCTTATGCTCTATTTTTTTCATCAGTTAGTGAATAATTATCTTGAACATTACTATGCAAAATTAATAATGTTCTTAGTTTTAAAAATTAAAAAAAAAAAAACTCATAATATTTTTAGTTTCACTAAATATGACCTATTGATTCAAAAAAATTTACATAGAACCTACTATGAAAATTACTATAATGTGTATATTTCATTTTACATGTCCATTTTTTCATGTGTTTCACTCCAATTTTGCTTTTTATTTTAGTAATGCAAATACTTTTTATTTTAGGATAAAATACATTGGCACCCTCTGAGATTTATATTTATTATAGTTTCTCCCTCACCTTTTAGAAATTGCATCTCCCTCCCTTAGGTTTAAAGTTTCATTACAGATTATTCCCTCCAGCAATTCAATTTTTTTAAATACCAATTTTGCCCTCACTAGGTAAATTATATTGACACCCCTCACATTTTAGAAATTACAATCCACTCCCCAAGGTTTAAAGTAATATTACTAATTGCCCCCTAGGTTAGTATTAGTTGAAATAAAAATTATTTGAAAAAAAAAATTATTTGAAAAAAATTTTGTTAGTCAAATTTTTAAATTTCTGTTTAAAAATCAACGTAAACTCATTTTTTGAATTTATGTTTTTTCCTCAAATTTAAAAACTGAGACAACCATTTATAAACTAAAAAAATTATCAAACAAGTTTTATGACAGTTTTTAAAATTTTTGTAAATATAAATTGAAAATTAAAAACGAAATGATTACCAAACAGGCCTCAGATGGTAAAAATATCGTAAAATTAACAAATAATTAAATAAGTTGCCGACGTAAGAAATGACTTATCAAAAGATTCTTAGGTTATGTATGGTTTGATTTTAGAATTTTTTTAAAAAAATTAAAAATTAACTTAGTTAAGAAATAAAAAATAAAAAATAATTATCATTTTTATATAATTTTTATCTTTCGAGTGTAATAAACATAAATTTCAAGGGGTGTCAGTGTAATTTTTATCTTACGTTGGTTTTTAAACAGAAATTTAAAAATTTGACTGACAAAATTTTTTTCAATTAATTTTTTTCAAATAATTTTTTTCAACTAATACTAACCGATGGGACAATCGGTAATGCTACTTTAAACATTGGAAAGGGGACTATAATTATTAAAATGTGAGGGGTGTCAATGTAATTTACCCAGTGAGGGAAAAATTGGTATTTAAAAAAATTAAATTGCTGGAGAGAGCAATCTGTAATGAAACTTTAAACCTCAAGGAAGGGGATATAATTTCCAGAAGGTGAGGAGGGAACTATAATAGACATAAACCTCAGGAGGTGTCAATGTAATTTATCCTTTATTTTATGGAATGCCACATCTAGAAAAAGATGGAGGGAAATGATTATAACAGTTGAATAAATTTTGTCTAATCTTTGAAGGCTAGTTATATTTAGTTAATGAATATGAGTGAAGATAAAATGTTTAATCATATATCTAATGTATTGGAATTAAAAAAAAAAAAGAGGATTATACTAGATATTTTATCTAACATACACTGAGTTCGTTTGAGAAGTGGGTTGATTTTTTGACTTTTTGATTATTTTAGTTTGGCGTTAAAAAGCGTCATTTGGGATAGGCTTTTTGATATTTTTGACTTTTTTGTGATAGAAATAATGTAATGTTATGTGTTGGATGTGACATTTTATCTAATAAAAAGTCTATTTTGTCATTTTGTAGTTAAAACAGTTCAAAATCTAACCCAACCCAAGTTGCCAAACGAAGTCATTATATGTACAACCTTGCTGGGGACCGCAGTAGGGGTGACCCCCAGCACCCCCAGCTCCACGTGGGGGCTGTGCGCAAGCCTTAAAACAAAAAAATAAAAATAAAAATTGACCAATCAAACCTCAGTGGGGGTCTTGGTGGTCACCCTCAGTGGGGGTCTAATGGATTTCTCTTATATGTATAGTAAGTTGGAGATGCTCTAAATTAATTTTTCTTTTTTAAAAAAAATTATGAAATAGTTATATTAATTAAAAAAGTTAACATCATACAAACCAATAAAAAGAAAAACAACAATAAAAAAAATCCTAAAGATCCAAATAAAAGTCCTGCTCAAGTTGAATTTGAATTTTTTAAAGCACGAGTAATTGCCCACATAGCTAAAAATATTTTAAAAATAATAAATTATAAATATCTCTTGAAATTTTTTTTAAATATAAATTATTTCTGTAATTTTAGAAATTACATCTTACCCTTAAAGTTTTCAATATCATAGCAAATAATCATCTTTATTAATAAATAATTAAGTAAATTAATAATTTTTAATTATGTTAGAAATTTATTTTGGTTAGTAATTTAAGTAATTTTCTTACTATATAAGAGAACAGTTAAAATTTTTATTTTTTAATTAATTCTATTAAATAAAAAATTTTAACAATAGAAACAATCTGTACTTTAAACAACCAATTCGGATATTTATAATTTACCCTTAAATAAAGAGACATTTAAACACAAGTACTAATTTATGAGCTTATACTCCATAATTAAGATTTTTCGAACCTTCAAGTCCCATTAAATTTTTAATAGTCAGATTTATCCTTCAATCAATGATTATTCATCACTTATATCTATAGAAGAATATGATGATTTGACATTTTTTTTTATTTTCAAAAACTTTAAAACATCAACTTTCAAATTGAAAAACAAAAAAAAAAATTACGTGCAAAAAAAAAAATGGATAAATTACAAATACACCCTCTGAGATTTGCTTAAAATACGAATTGCCTCTTGTGATTTGGAAAATAATAAATATCTCATTGTCATAATTTTTTATTTAATATAATTAATTGAAAAAGTGAAATTTGTAACTGTTTATCTATACAATAATAAATTATCTGAATTATTAATTGAAATAAAATTTTAACATTATTAAAAATTGTTAATTAACTTGATGACTTATTAATAAAAGGACGTATTTGTTATGAAATTAAAAATCTTATGGGGACATAATATAATTTCTACAACCATAGGAGATAATTTGTAATTTAAGTAAATCTTAGGAGTGTGTTGGTAATTTATCCTAAAAAAATTGAAAAAATTGAATTATTTTTTTGTATAAAATTGATGAAACATTGATGTACATGATGATGGAACATTGATATATAAAATTGAAAAAAAAAACTTCAAAAATAAAAAAAATTGATAATATTCTCAGTTTTAAAATTAGAAAAATTTAATATTCTCAATTTTATTAGATAGTTGAATCAAACTAATAAATAGAAGGGTAAAAATGTTTAATATCATATTCTGTTTTTTTATCAATTAGTAAAATAATTATCTAAAATATTATTATATAAAATTAAAAAAATTTAATTTTAAAAATTAAAAAAATATAATATTCTTAATTTCAATAAATATAATATAATATATAAATTTTAAAAAATCTTCAATAGAACGTACATAATTAGCTCTTAAAAAAATCATAGCCAATCACAGCCTGAAATGACTTTGAAATTTCAAGGGCGGAAAAGAATACCGCGTCCAAGTCAAGGTTGGCCAACCTCACACGCTACTCTCTCTCTCTCTCTCTCTCTCTCTCTCTCTATATATGTATTTCTCTGAACTTGAAGCCCTATTTTCCATTTATCATACTAGCTTAGCTCCTTCCTAGTTTCCTTCGCCGAAACCCCAAACCCTAGCGTGAGGTTTCTCAAATTTTTTTGTTGGATTTGAGTTTTTCGTTTCCATTCGGATTACAAGCTACGACCCTAAATCTTTTGTATTAGGGTTTCAATTTCTTTTGAAGAGTTGTTTGTACTGTAGATCTTGACTATACGTACATAAATCTGTTTGAGGATGTCACGATGCTTCCCTTACCCTCTGCCTGGGTATTCTGCGAAGAGAGACAGCAACGTGGCCTTGATCGAAACGATTAAGGTTTGTTGAGCACTTGGCTTTTGCTTTTATGCTCGACTGAGTTCGTTGATTTGAATTGTGGTCGATTTTGAGATCTTTTTTTTATGTAAAATTTCCACAGTTTCTGTTAAGAAGAATTGTTGTAAAGACGCTTACAAACATTTGTGTAGATGTATGTCTGTAAAGAAGCATGAAGTTTTACTTCTTCAAATCTGTTTTGATTTGTTTCTTTCATTGTCAATGACTTTTGAAAAGCAGAGAATTTGGGGTGTTTTTGGCTTCTGAGTTATGAGACTAGGGTAGGTTTCAATAGCTTGAAGAATTTTAGTAACCCTTTTCCATTTATGAACAGAAGGTTGTGGTTAAAGTTGTTTGTGACGTTTGGGTTTGTCAATTGTTTGTTGAAGAGCAAAGACTTTAAAAACTCGATTTGAGCTCCAAATACTATTGCAGCTTTTGTTGTTGGGTGGATGTTGGTGTTTGTTGAAGTGGAAAGACTTTAAAAAGTCGATTTGAGCTCAAAATACTGTTTCAGCTTTTGTTGGTGGGTGGATGTTGTTGAGTTATTAGAATTCATTATCTTGAAGAATTTTAGGAACCCTTTTCCCTTTTATACAGTTAAGGTTGCTTGTGAGGTTTGGTTTTATCAAATTCTTGTTGAAGGGGAAAGACTCTTTAATAACACTTTCTGAGCCAAAAATACTATTGGAGCACTTGTTGCAGATTCAGTGCAACGGATATTGGATGGATGATGGTGGTGGGTTACTAGAAGAATGTGTGATGGGAAATATTTTATTAAAATTCAATATCTTGAGGAATTTAGGAACCCTTTTCCCATGTAAACAAAAGGTTTTGGTTAAGATTTTGAGGTTTGGTTCTATCAAATTCTTGTTGATGGGGAAAATATTTTTTAATAGCCAAAAGTACTATTGGAGCACTTGTTGCACAGATTCAATGCAAAAGATATTGGATAGATGTTAGTGAGTTGTTAGTAGAAGAACGTGTTATGGGACAATTCAATTAGAATTTTGACTGGTAGATAAGGCCTCGTTTGGGAACAGGCTAATTTAGTAACTTTTTGGCTATTTGGCTAAAATATGAGCTAAAAAAACTAGTATGTTTTGGATGACTTTTTGACTTTTTACAAAAAGATGTGCAAAAAATAGAGAGAAAAGAGAATCTTTGACTTTTTAGTATGGTTGGAGCACTTGTTGCAGATTCAGTGCAACGGATATTGGATGGATGATGGTGGTGGGTTACTAGAAGAATGTGTGATGGGAAATATTTTATTAAAATTCAATATTTGAGGAATTTAGGAACCCTTTTCCCATGTAAACAAAGGTTTTGGTTAAGATTTTGAGGTTTGGTTCTATCAAATTCTTGTTGATGGGGAAAATATTTTTTAATAGCCAAAAATTCTATTGGAGCACTTGTTGCATAGATTCAATGCAAAAGATATTGGATAGATGCTGGTGAGTTATTAGTAGAAGAATGTGTTTTGGGACAATTCTATTAGATTTTGACTGGTAGATAATTTGATTGAATATGATTTTGGTTTTGTGGCAATTCTTTCAGAGATTGCGTGTTTTTATGCAAAGATTAACTGATGAACTAGATCTAAATTGATGACTTTGGAGATGTTTAATTATTGTGAAATATGGAGGTTGTCTTCTATGTTTGGAAGAATTGGCATGGAAAATTTGTTTTCATTCACTGATTTTAAACTTGGTTAAAAATACTAGAACTTTAAAAAAAAGTTTATATGTATCTTAGTTTATAAACGAATTTGAGGAAATTTAAGTATTTTTTTTTATTTTTTTATTTTTGGTATATCTCTTTAACTTTTCTTGCTACAAAAATTTACAAGTGGCTGGTACATTAGCTTGGCGTGTTTTGCATCTTTGGTCTTCCCTAGCCATCTATGCTAAATTTGTTGTTCTGGTGCTCTAAAGCTCCAGAGGGAAAGGGAAGAGAAGGCCAGGACAGAAAGGAAGAAAGAAAGTAAGGGGGAGAAGAAAGAGAAAAAGAGTGAGAAGAAAGCAACTGCGAAGCACAATGGTAGTGAATTTGGCCATGGTAAAAAAAGAAAGTTTAATGATGAGAAGACTAAAAAATTGGAGGAAGAAAGAGTATATTTGAAAGGGACACACATTCAGAAGAATAGAGAAGATGAAGCCGAACAGTTGGAGAGGAGTGGTCTCACTGAAGAACATGAGCTGCCTGTCTGTTCACGAAACCCCTGCTACACATCTGACAGCACCGAAAACAGCAGCAAAAGGAGGAAGCAGTTGCCACCTGTGAATGGCATCCGTGCACATGGTTTGTGCCAATGCTTTTTGTTTTTGTATTTTGTTTTTAGAGCTCAATGCATGCATTTACCATATTCTAAATTGTTATGATAATCAAATAGGGAACATCATAAGGATTCGATTAACCTCACAAAAGCAAAAAGAATCTGATGATGTGGTTACCAAAGAGAGGCTCACCTCTACTTCTGGAAGGACAGATTCAACTAGTCAACACGATTCTGAAATTGGTCTTGGACGGAGTCAAGAGTTCTGTTCTACTTCAGTGGGTATTGATGCATCTTCGCAAGTTCTCACTACTCAACCTATCAAAGACGAAGGTGGTTCATCTTCTGGGATTGCTTCTATTGCTACATCCTATGTGAATAAGATTCCGAAAGTTGATTCATTTTACAAAGATCTGATTGAGAATTGGGTCCCACCACTCGTACAAAGTGAGCAGACAGATCTTGGTGAACAAGAATGGTTATTTCAGAGAAAGAATCAAGATGGGGAAAGATGTCAAGCTAGCAGCAATGTATTGTGTAGGGGCAGTTCAACTTTGTGGCCTCATGCCCAATACTTGCCTGAGGTTGATATTTATGCCTTGCCCTTCACAGTTCCTTTTTGAGTTCAATTATTGTTACTCAGATTACGTTTGTGTATAGTTAATGTGAAAGCTTGATGCTCCAAAGTTTTGTAGTAGATCCCAGAAAATTATTATATTCATTTATTGAAGTGGTTGAAGACCATGATTATATGAAGGTTGGACAGTTTTTATTTGTCCAATATCTTATTTATGATTATGGATGTTGTTTCATCTGTGCTGTTTTTATAGTTGGGTGTTGCTATTATCACTTGTCAAATTTTTTTGGATCCCCAATTTATAATTTTTTTTTATTACAATTATATTTTAAAATAAAATTACATTAAAAGACATTATTAAGGGATGGTTTATGATGATCTAAATAAGTGTATTTTTTGATTTTTTATGAAATATCAGTTGGGTATGAGTTACGGTTGAAGTGATATGGTAGAAAGGTTTTGAAATGATCTAAATAAGTGTACTTTTTGATTTTTTTATAAAATATGAGTTGGATTTGGGTTGGGTTTGAAGTGATGGGTTAGAGAGATGATGTGCCTTAAATAAGATGATGTGACTTAGGTGGTGTTTGGCAAGTGGTTTTGGGGCTAAAATAGCCACAAAAAAATTAAATAGACTATTTTAATTATAACAAACAAAACATTACATTCAACCTATAATCATTATTTTTTTCTCACAAAAAAAGTAAAAAAAATTAAAAATCAAAAAGTCCTTCCCAAACTAAGCTTTTTAGCCCAGACTAAAATAGCCAAAAAAGTCAAAAAGTCAACCCATTTTCCAAACGGAGGCTTAAATAGGATAGTGACTTTTTGACTTTTTAACTTTTTTGAAACTTGTCAAACCAGCCTTTAAATAAGATAATGCGACTTAAATAAAATAGTGATTTTTTGACTTTTTAGCTTTTTTAGGTTATGACAAACAAGGCCTAAATGGAGCATCCACACATCAAATAAGAACTAATATTTTATAATATTGGATCCCCACCTCCATCTCAACCTGTACATATTCCATGTTTGTAAACCCTAACCCTATTACTTTTCATAACCAACCAGCATAAACTCTAAATTTATTATTTTTCATAATAATCTTAAACCCTAAATGTGTCATCTTTTTCACCATTATCAACCCTATTGAACCAAAAAGTTTTGCTTCAAGTATAATGTATACTTCATCACTTATTTCACCGTGTAAAACAATGAAGGACGATGATAACAATTCTAATGAAACCGGAGTTCCACTGGTAAGTTTATCTGTATTGTATTAACGTTTTCAGTCGTTTTCAGTCGTTCTTCTTTTGTTCGAGCTGTTCGGTATTAGTTTGCTAACTGTTAAGATTATGTTCGGTAATACAATACTGAATACATAATCCTTTCATTCAATACATAGGTTCCGAACATTAATGCAGATAGTCAGTACGGTTGAACAGAATATGATTTTTATTTTCGGTACTGTTGAATTGAACAAAAGTCTACCAGCTACGTTGTGTGCGGCTCAACCACCGGCTACGTTGTGTGCGGCTCCACCACCAATAAGAGATTGTTAGAAACAGAGGATACGAAAAAAAAATAGAGAAGACGAAATAGCAACACTTTGTAAGGAAAAATAAAATAAAAAATACAATGAAATAGCAGCACTTTGTAAGAAATGGGTAGATTGGGTCAGTGCAAGGAGACGAACGATTAAGTAACAGGGAAGGAGAGGGTATGAAAAATTAGGCGGATGTGCATTTGATTGTAAAAATGTTATGAATATGGATAGATTGGTAATAAGTGAAGGTGTCTAAAAAAATAGGGTAAATTACACTAATAGTCCCTATAGTTTGAGGCTTGTGTCACTTTGATCCCTGACTTTTCAATTGTGACACATTTGACCCTAAATTTTGAATCTTGTTCCAAATAAGGTCAATTGAAGATATCATTAGATTTTTCAAAGGTAAAATCGTCAATTTGATAAAATATAAACTAATTTGACAAAAATAAATGTCAAACAAATATTTTTGAATTTTTAAAAATTATTTCTACACACTAAAAATAAAATTATGTAAAATTGATAAATCTTTTAGACATTTATTTTTTTTTTACCAAATTAATTTTTATTATGTGGTTGGATGATGATCATGTAAAATTAATTTTTAAAAATTATTCATGTAATTTTTATTAATTTTTATCAATTTTACATAATTTTATCATTGGTGGATAAAAATAATTTTAAAAATATTAAAAATATTTTTTTGACATTTATTTTTGTCAAATTAGTTTGTATTTTATTAAATTGATAATTTTGCCCTTGAAATTCAACAATGGTATCTTCAATTGTCCTTATTTGAAACAAGATTCAAAATTTAGAGTCAAATGTGTCACAATCGAAAAGTTAGAGACCAAAGTGACACGAGTCTCAAACTATAAGGACTATTAATATAATTTGTCTAAAAAAATATTATTAAAATTTAAAATTTAAGGTAGAAGTCAAAAAAAAATAGAAAGTCTAAAGAATTTTGACGGTTACAAATAGCAGCACTCTTATATTTTAAGTTTACAATTCCAATCCCCAATGGATTGATAAAAAATTCTAGTTAATGGCTAATTTCAATGAAAATTGACAAATGTCATGAATAGTAATAGAACATACTTGAATTGTACTTCGTTTTGTTTTGATAAAATTTGAAGCAAATGGCTAATTTTTTTTTTTCTGAATTGGCAAATCCCATGTTTTTTTTTTTTTTTCTGAATTGACATATCCCATGATGTATGCTCTCTCTATCTCAATAGTCTCTTTCGAAAACTTTAATTTTTTTTTAGGCCGCCCTGATCATAGGTCCATAAGGCCATAGCTTAGGATCCCACAAAATAGGTCCAAAAAAAGGACCGTCTCCTATTATAATTTAATGTAATATATTAGGTATATTTTAAGTACAAAAAAAAATTAAAAAGGCCCAAACTAACTTAAAATAAATTGGCCCATTAAAAAATTAAAAGGCCAACACTGCAATCCAACAAAGCAGCAATTTGAAAGGCCCAACAATTAATCCAATTCTTAATTCCTAACAATTAAGGGCCAACAGTTAAGGCCCACTTTGACAGCAGCTTGAAAGGCCTATCTAATTTCTAACCCTACTACCTTCCCTTAATCCAATTTTCCCTACAGCTTGTCTGATAGCACACTAGCAGCCCAAGCCAACCAAGCAACAAAGCAGCAGCACACGACAGGGCAGAGTAGCAGCACAGGTATTTTTTTTATTATTATTAAATTAATTAAATATTTGTCTTGTCTTTTGCTCAATTAATTGCTATTATAATATTGGTATTTAAATCATCAAGAAAAATTTGTTTAAGTTTAATAGTTCACATCACATAATTTAAAAGTTTTGTGTTTTGTTAAGTGGTGGTGGTGCTCTTGTTTTGAATTTTTGATCTAAAAAAATATCTTGATCTCAGATCATCATGACTCTTAAAAGAAATTATCCGTTTGGATTCGCAAAAAGGAAAAGAAACAAAGAGTCAAAAAATTAGTCGAGTGTCAAAAAGTAGCTATTGATAAGTTCTTTACGAGTGACAAACAAGCAGAACAATCAGTTGAAGACTTGAACAATGAAGAATTTGAAACTTTGGTAAATATTGAGAATGAAAATTTGGTAGATGAAGAAGGAAATGGGAAATTTGAGAGTGCAGAAATCAATCAAGATGATGAGATGAATACAGAATGTGAGCATTCAAATATAGATAATCCGGGGACTTGGAAAATAGTTGACCAGAATTTACGAGATTTTTTAGTCGAAAAAGGTCCTGTGAGAAGAAATTGTGAGTTCAACTTCCCTAAGGATGATTCTTCTAGGCATAGGCATTTCTCACATATTCATTACATTCGACATTTACCAAATGGAGAAAAATTTGATAGGACATTGCTGATATATTCGGAACTTTTGGATAGAGTATTTTGCTTTTGTTGTAAGTTGTTTAAGCAAGAGGGAAATAAGACTCAATTGCCTACTAAAGGATTTAAAGACTGGAGAAATATTGATGAGAGACTTAAAGGCCATGAAAGTGGTAACGAGCACATTACTTGCATGAGCAAATGGATTGAGCTGGAGGAAAGATTAGGAAAGCATCAAACAATAGATAAAAGTATACAAGAACAAGTTAACAAAGAAAGAGAGCATTTGAGACGGGTTTTATTGGTGATAATTGCAGTTGTGAAAACACTTGCCAACAATAATTTGCCATTTCGTGGAAGCCATGTGAAGATTTATGAAGAAAGCAATGGACTTCTTTTAAGCATAACTGAAATGATTGGCGAGTTTGATTCAACGATAGAACAACACTTGCGGGGGATAGAAAATGGTGAGATTCATTACCATTATTTGAGTCACAAAATTCAAAATGAGGTGATACAAATGTTGGCCGGGGAAGTCAAAAGTGCAATTTTGTCAATAATCAAACTAACAAAATACTTTTCGGTCACACTTGATTGTACTCCGGATATAAGCCATCAAGAACAAATGTCTTTTGTTGTACGATGCGTGCATGTTTCAACAAGTCCAATTAAGGTGAAAGAGTTTTTTTTGGAATTCTTGAATGTGGATGATACATCGGGGATGAGACTTTTTGATATTGGTGATTTAAGAGGGCAAGGATATGGCAGTGGCTCTAACATGAAAGGCAAAAACAAAGGTGTTCAAATAAGAGTATTTCAAGTAAATCCTAGAGCATTCTATACACCGTGTGGTTGTCATAGTCTTAACCTTGTGCTTTGTGATATGGCCAAAAAGCAAAAACTTTTTTTGGTGTGATACAATGCATATATGTATTGTTTTCATCTTTTGTTCAACGTTGGGCAATTTTAAAAGATTATCTAAAGGAAGGCCTCATGGTTAAATCGTTGTCGCAAACGCGTTGGGAAAGTCGCATTGAAAGTGTTAAACCACTAAGATACCATGCTTCAAAAATAAGAGATGCTTTAGTTGGCTTGTACAATAATCCTACCACAGATTCGATTGCAAAAAGTGAAGCTAAATCCTTGGTAACTCATGAACTTGAGACTTTTGAGTTCTTGTTTAGTATTGTAATTTGGTACAATTTGTTGTTTCATGTGAACTCTGTTAGCAAGCTTCTTCAAAGTGAAAATATGGATATAACAGTTGCTGTAAAGAAGCTATATGGACTTGTTAAGTATGTTGCAATGTACAGAGAAGTTGGTTTCACGGAGGCTATGGTTGAAGCTAAAGAAATGGCAAGTGAATTGGGAATTGAACCTACATTTGTTGAAAAGCACATCATTTCTAGAAAGAAACAATTTGATAAGAATGTTAGCGAAGAGGTGACCTAGTCAGCTGAAGAATCATTTAAAGTTGGTTACTTCTTTTATTTTGTTGATCAAGCCCTTTGTTCACTCAAAAATAGGTTCGAACAATTCAAAGTATATGAGGCAAACTTTGGTTTTTTGTTTGACTTGAAAAAGTGCAGCGATGAATTGTTGAAGGCGGGGTGTGTGAACCTTGAAGAATTTTTAAAACATGATGAGATTTCTGATATTGATGGAAGAGATTTATTGATAGAGCTAAAAGTCTTGAAAGAGAGATTGCCAAAAGAAGTGAATAAACCAATTGAAATGCTTAATCATCTGCAGTCAATGGAAAATTGTTTCCCAAATTCATGGATTGCTTATAGGATACTTTTGACTATTCCGATTACACTTGCATCGGGGGAAATAATCTTTTCAAAGTTGAAAATCATCAAAAATTACCTTCGATCAACCATGTCACAAGAAAGATTGAATGGATTAGAATTGTTATCCATTGAAAATGATTTTGCAAAAAAACTAGATTATACAAGTATGATTGATTTATTTGCTTCTAAAAATGCAAGAAGAGCGAGGATCAAGTGATACTTATTAGTTGTTATAATTTAATTCTAAGTATTTTTTGTGATTTTAGTACAAATATTTTATTCTTTACCTTATTTTTTTTTTTTCATTCAATGAAAAAAAAATGTGAGTGGCCCCAGAAATTTATTAGTTGATTATCGGCTTTGGGCCCTAGAAATCTCAGGACCGGGCCTGATAGTATAATTATTACATTTTTAAAATATTAATTTGTTAAAATTACCCTTTAATAGTATATTTTTTAGGAATATCAATTGTAATAATTGCACTTTTTGTGTTATTAATGAATTTAAAAGAAAAGTAAAATAGTAGATTCATATTATTTTATTCTTTGATTTTTAAAAAGAGGCTAATATTTTGGAATAATGAAAAATAAATAAGGGACTAATATTTTGAGACAGAGGGAGTAATTAGTTTGGAGAGTGAGTTGATTTTTTGGACATTTTAGCCTAGGCTAAAAAATTCGTTTGGGTTAGGCTTTTTAACTTTTTCGAGAGAAAAAATGAAATAATTATGATTTGAATGTGACAATTTATCTTATTAATTTTTTAATTTATTTTATTTTTTGTAATTATTTTAACTTTTTACCCCAAAAAACCAACATGCCAAAGGAGGGCATAGTAATAGAATTATTGAACACACATGCACTTTGTTTTATGCACAAAATTTTCTTTTATACAAGTGTGGTAGTAATGTGAGATCCAAAGCTTTGCTTTGTATAATCAAGCTTGAAATATGGTTTCAAGTGTGAGATGACTTAAAGTTTAGGGTAAATCTAATTGATCTCTCTTGAGATTTGAAAAAAAAAAATATAATATCTTATAATTTTGATATAATTACACAATTTTTTTTTTATAAATAAATGCAAATAATAAGAAGATACAATGATGGAAGTGTTTGGTGTGGTTTTTTTTGATCAACTTATAGATTCTAACTTTGAAACAACTATTTTGAACTGTTTGTTTAAATTTATTTCAAATAGCTTTTGATTTTAGCAATTTTCTAACTCAAAAAAGCTAATTTTGAAAAGTTGTTCACCCCTACTTCTAATTATCAGTTTCTGCGTTGGGCATGTTAATTTACTATTATACCCTTAGATTTATTTTTTTTGAGTGTGAAAATTAAAAAGACCCAAATGGACTGTGGATTATTATTATTTATTTTTTTTTTATGAAAAATGTGAACTAGTAGTGAATAATAAAAAATAAAGTTAATTCAATTTATAATTAATAGGGATAACAATGACGTTTATATATCAAAAAATTTTTTCGCAGCTTATTTATCAAACACTACTCAGTAGGGGTGTGCATGGGTCGGTTTGACCCGAGTTTATCATTAATTCGCCAGTCGAACTGGCACTATCGGATTATCAATTTCCTTAACCATTATCGACCACTCCGTCGCTTGAAATCGACCGAATGAAAATAGTTGGTTTTTCAATTGAATCGGTCAATTTCAAATATTTATCAAAGAAGGAAGTTAAAGAAAAAAAAATTTAAAAATAGAACCGTACATAAATACAGATCTGAGCAAATCTAATGTATAAATAAATAAAACAAAATTACAGATTTGAAAGTGCAAGAAAGAACATAGTGAATAATGGAAAAACATGGAAGATTCACCATGCAACCGTTACGGCCATTGCTCATCGCTGCTGCCATCGCCATTGCGATTGTTGCTTGTATGTTATCACCGAAGAAGGGAAGAACGAAGACAAAATATGAGAGAAGAAAAAGACAAATAAATGAGAGAGATTGAAATAGAGGGTATGTCTTTGAACATCATCAGAGCAAGGGAGATGGATAGTCACTTTCTTGTGTTGATTTTAGGGTTTGAAATAAGAATATCAAAGATCATGTGAAAGAGAGAGAGAGAGAGAGAGAGAGAGATAAAAATATTAAAGATCATGTGAGTGAGAGAGACCTTGAGGGTTTTGGGGTGGGTGATGTCACTACCCAAACTCGCTTCTATAGGTTTAGTATCATAATCAGCCAGTAATCTTAGGATTATCGAAGGCCTCTAAGATAGATTAACATAATATTAGGGGCTAGCAAAAGCAAATAAAAAATATACAACGTCTATTGAGTTGTGCAGACTTATATGAGATAGAAGATTTTTAAACTTTATATACATACATTTACACATCATCATATATATAGGCTAGACCCAAAAAAAAAAAAGAGACTTAGCCCTAAATATAGAATAAACAAAAACACTTGTTAAACCAAAATAAGGAAACAAAATTTGAACTTTATGCACATAGCCATAACCACTTGACATATCCGGAATCTCTACGGGAGGCATATATGTTGGCTGACAAAACAAAGTCCAGGCAGAAGCTCTAGGCGTGGTCACGCACCTGACCACCTACATATATAAATAATACAGTAAGCTGGAGCCCAGTGAATAATAATAGAGTAAAGGGTTTTAATGAATGATATCCATAACAGATTTAGAAATTAGAGTTCATATCAGAAACAAATTCATATCATATTCTTGTTCAGAAATCAGTATTGATAACAAAACGGAATTAGAATCATATTCATGATCAGAATTTACAGTTAATCGTACATGGTACATCCATTAGTGCTAACAAAACATATACAAAATAGATGGTGGTTATGAGTAACTAGTTCCTGTAGACGTCCCCGAACATCCCGGGAGGATGAATCCCGTTCTGTTCATTTTGGGTTCACTACAGTTCAGGACTCTCAAATTGTCATGGTTCTTAATCTGAACCAAAGAGTCCAAATCTGGCAAATCGTTTTGAGAAAAACAGATTTTTAAAGAAGAAGTGAACATGGACTGCTTTGCCAGATACAGAGTCGCCACCTAAATATTTTTATGGGAAAATTTAGGAAACCCTGACTCGTTTGCCTAAGGCCACGTGTTCGTCATCACCAAAGTTGCCTCAGCTCGGGAACTTGGGTACGATTGGAGAAGGTCAGCTATGAGCACCCCCGCTCGCTCGATCAAAGATCGGCCTCTACTAACCGTGATATCTTGTTTTGAAAGCATTATGTGTTTCTATTCCTGTTATTAGCCTAGAATTACTATGTTATGCGCACAACAAACAAATATAGACTAGATCGCCTAATTTGGAACAAAAGCATCGCATATCTGCTTGTTTGGAAATGTTTGAAGTTTGCTACTCGCAAGTAGGCTAAAATGCGGATTTCAATGAATTATCCCAATTCAAGTAATCCAACCTTCACCCACAGGCATTCAAGCAGTTATATCACATAAGCAAGTAGCCTCATGGTAAGCATGCTGTCATGGCAACACTCACACGCATGCAAGGATGCTAAAACATAAATGCTTACCGAGTACTCCAAGCCAAAACAGAAACTAGTTAGTAATCATATGCATGATCCTAGTTCATGTTAAGATGACTAATGCAACGCATGCAAGGTGAAGCTACAATAGGCTCGGCTAATCTATGGATGGCATATGATGATGCTATAACTAACACGTATTCAACTTGGAATTGAAATACAATGCAGTTAGTATGATGCGCCGAGTCTGGTGCATGCAAGACAAATGTATGGATGCACGAATGCATAGCATAAGGTATGCTAATTTAAATATGACCTAATACTAACCATCAAAAGCAGGTAAGTAAAGGGGAGAAAGAAGTGGGGGTTGGAAGACATGCACACACGCACCCACACTTATTACAAACTTGCCCTCGCTCGGAGGGACCGAAAGAATAATACAATTAACTAACTTACAAGCTAATTAAATATTACAGACCAATTAAACTAGTTATCAAATTAATTAATCTAATAAAACTGTAAACAGCCTCGGGAAGAGGACCCAATGCAATGCGTGTTCGGCTCCGCTCGAAAAGCCACTGCCATGCACAAGTTGTATCTGCTTTGACTGTTATCCTCCTCTGAAAACTGTACAAGTCCTAGGGTTGCTTCTCTGAGTACTGTGGAGCACCACCGGCTAATGGAATTGGTCACTGGCCAAAGGGAATGATCACCGGCCACTTGTTCAAGCTATCGGCCATTGATGAATGGCCGGTCGGCACTGGAGATGGCCGGTCGGCCAAAGCTTCCTGCAGAATCTGTTTTTGACAGCAGCAGAGGGTAAAACATAGCATGGCAATGCATTTCAAGCAATGTATGCACCAACCACACTCCTTATCATATTCATGACTCAAAGGAGGATGGGTTTCGATTCTCGGACCATCAATCGCGCATTTCAATGCGTGATGGCCCAAGAAACCAAGTATGCATTTTGATATGGAATGCAATGCACATAATCAAACAAAGGGGCTCGACCTCTATCATACTCAACTCAAGAGATGAAGCATGCATGCAAATGGAATGCAATCTAGACGTGGAGGCTAAGTATGCAAAATGAGCATGCAAGGCATGTGATAACTATGCTAGTGGCAAACATGCAACAACATGTAAAGTGGACTAAGCATAGGAACA